GGTGCCCTCGCCGTGGCCCGACACCGCCCTCACCGACGGCGTCCACACCTTCTGGCACGGGAAGTAGTTCTTCACCTGCGGCTTCAGGTTGACGAATTTGAGGCGGGGGTCGAACCAGGTGAGGGTCACGCCCACGCTCATGGTCACCACGCCGCCCTCGGTGGTCACGTCCTCGATGCTGTACACGTGGGCTTGGTACTCGAGGTCGAGGGGGACGGACTCGCCGGGGCGCGGGGGCGGGGGGTAGTAAGGGTCGTACCCGGAGGGCTGCTGCACCACCAGGCAGTTCCTCTCGTCGGACTGGTCGTCGCACTGAGCCACGTTGTCGCAGCGGAGCGTGTGCGCGATGCACTGGCCGTCGTCGCAGGCGAACTCGGTGGTGAGGCAGGTGGTGAGCGTCAGCACCAGGTCTCCGTCCTCCGTCAGCCACTGCCTGCGTCCCGCGGGCACGACGGCGTCCTCCAGCGTCCACTCCTCCCCGTGCAGCTCGGACCCTAAAACCCAGCCCTTCCCCCGCCGCGTGATGTGGGACCCCGCCACGCCTCTCAGCTGCGGCTCTCCGGCGCTCGCGTTCACGTAGAAGCTGTTGTCGAAGAGGCTCCCGTCGTGGCCGTAGAGGTTGTACATAACGGCCGGGGGAAGCAGGCACACGGAGCAAGAGAAACTTCGCACGCAGGCCGTCCAGGTGGCGCCGTCGACGCCCAGAGCGGGGCACTCGTCTTCCACGGACACGGTGCGCGGGGACCAGACGTCCGCCTCGTCCCTCGCCATCCACGTCGCCAGCCCGTCCTCGGTCAGACAGGAGTCGTTGGTGCCGCGAGCGAGGATCAAGGCGGCCTCGTCCGCCTCGTTCTGGGTCAAGAGGGCACCTCCCAGGGCGTGACACGACGTCAAGATCTCGGCGTAAGTCCCTGCGGGTTGTATGAGCATCGGCCGGGGGGCGGAGGAGCACATCTGGCCCGTCTCAAAGTTCTGCAGGGACGCCCCGCGGAGCAGCCACCCCGACCCCATAATCAGCGTTGGAGGAACGCCCCGAGCACCTCCATCGCACTTCGACGCCTCCCGCGCCTCCTTGGCCCCCAGGGCAGCCGTCCAGAATCGCAGCGCAGCCACGTCCCCCTCCAGCTCCAGGCGCCCCTCCCCGCCAACGCACGCCATCCCGGGCATCGCTGGCACGGCGAAGGCAGACGCGGTGGTGTTGGCATCGCTCCGAGTCGCAGCTGCCTTGGTTTTCCGTCCAGCGCCGAGGCTCCTCCGCGCCGACAGCGTCTGCTTCTGCCCCTCCGCCATACACTCAGCCTTCCAATGCAAATGCACGGTTAACTTTTAATTAATTTTGATAATTATAAACATTTAAACAACGGTGAGATCGTGCAAGGAAAAAAGCTGTAATGGTGGAATTTATAACTATGTCATCAAGGGATATTATCTACCCTATGACTAACTGAAGTATGTTGTACCCTTCAGTCGACTTGATAGCTTTGATACCCGACCTGTAGCAAAACCACGGTTTACGCTCAGTTTTGATGGTTATTGGGTACACAAAATGGAAAACATATAAAGAGAATTTCAGAATTGACTAATTGACCTAAATCCTTTTGTTTTCGTGATGTGATGTCTACTGGACAAACGAAATTTAATGCGAGGCATAACCAGAAGAATAATAAGATTTTGGAAAAAGTCCCTTGGATGTGGCACGAAGATCACCATATATCACAAATATAAAAAAGTATCCAGATAATCGTCAGGAAAAGACATGTAAAGACAGTTTCCAAAAGACCATCATTTCCTCTCACACACACACAAACGCACACACCTCAAACGCAACCACCCACGCATACCCTGGTCCTCCTACCCTTCTCTGGTCGTCCTTGTACACGAAGCACACGTGACGCCAAACCCAAGGAGGGAGTTTGACCTCGAAGAAATACTCGGCGCGTTCCCTGTCGCCTTCCTCGACCTGGAGATCCAACCCTTGCCTGTTCACCTCTGAAGTGAAGGCAGAAAAGGTGCGGAAATACATTGCTTCTATATCATTATCATCGCCTTTATGATTTCATGTTCATATTTACAATAATTGATGTGTGAGAGTTCAGCATGTTAAAGGAATGTTACTGATAAATTATCATTATTTTTTTTATTATTATTTTAATACACGCTTTTTTATTCAATCCTTTGTCTTAAATTCGTGATACAATTTTAGATAACATTATCTGAAAATTCATGTTTAATTCATACCCAGCTCGCTCAATTCACATTCAAAGGAATGAATACACAGCTACATTGTTGAAGATGTTGGACCCTTTTTAGAAATGCCTTTTCAACCACTAATAGAGGGAATGATATATCTGATTTATATGATGGGATTCCTAATACAGCCCCCCCCCCTGCAAAAATGATGATAAGTTTGAAATAAAAATGATCATAAACAAGAATATAAAACAAAAACACGACAATGATCAGAAGAATAGACAGGACACGCCACAACGTCCCATTTCCTACGACGGTGACATTCCTATCCCTTCCTCTGTATCTGAAGAGCGTCGACCCCTTGCGTGAGGCGTGCAACCTGACGGAGGCGCAGAGGGTGAAGGAAGTGACCTTGGCCGAAGAAGGGTTGTTGTAGGGCCCCTGTAAGGAACCGCAGGCGACTGAAGGGCCTGGGCCGAGGGTCACGCCCACTTTCGTTACGTCTGACAGGGGGGTGATGGAGCATTTTGAGGTTCGTGGAATTTACATACACATATATATATATATATATATATATATATATAATATATAATATATATAATATAATATATATATATACATATATTACCATTCTTCTCATTATCACTATTATCATTATCATCATTAAAATCATTAACACCTTTATTATCATTATCATCACAATCATTATTATCTTATATATTAATTTCCATCATCATCATTAACATCTATCTTTACCAATATTGATATATCTAGATATACTTTTGACACCATATTTTTCCTTCTTCCACAACAAACAACCATAAAATCAAAACAAGAAAAGAAGCCAAATGCACACGCGATTCGTACTCACCTGCGTCTCCAGTTTGCGTCGAGACGGTTACAACACACGCCGACAAGTACAGGAGATTCGTCCACAAGGCAGGTGGTTGTCTAGTCGGGAAGGACATCTTGCTGCAGGTGTATATGTGTATGTGGATACAAGATATGTAACTGGAGGATTCCTGTAGTTAGTGAGAGTCAAAACGTCATGATGAATCTGTAACTATTTTCTCATTTGGAAGTGATCGGAGCATTTTAGATGATATAAACGATAAAACGTATGCTGTTCATAGTAAAACGCATATTGGTGATAGAAAGATAAATCTAAAAAGGGTTACTAATTACTCCCAATGAAGATGGACACCCCTAATACCAAATACAGACTACAAGACACCTATAGCAGAGCGCCTGCAGAAGTAACACGAGGGAGCAGGTTGGTTACAGGAAGATGATCTTAAGAAAAATGTTTTCCGAGTTGACTCACAGAAGTCTGGTGGGCAATTAACTCGAGATCTTACGAAAGGTTCTTGCCAAGACATCTCGTACACTCTCTTCCGCGTCTTCCTATTGGTCAAGACGAGTAGCCAATCATTTTGCGTGAGTCTGTTATTTTTTTAAGGACAACCTGAGGTCGGTGCTCTCTCTCTCTCTCTCCTTCCCCTCCCCCCTCTCTCTCTCCCCTCCCCCCTCCTTCCCCTCCACTCTCTCTCTCTCACCCCTCTTCTCCTCTCCCCCTCTCCATCTTCCTTCTTGTATTTTTAGTTGGTTTAAAAGATCAATCCGTGAAAAAATCGTCTACATTGATTTCAGATTTTTCATCGGTTCTTCGTCGTGGAAGATCAGGAAGAGTCCGCCTTAGAAATAAAAAAGATGATGAAACCATTTACATTAGTGAGGATGGTATTGGCCCCTGACGTTCGCCGTTTTCGAACAGCTGGTACGCCTGTTCTCCTGTCAAGTTGATGTAAAACAGCGCGGTGATGGCTGCTCAGCGGGGAAATAAATTCACCTATCGGAGGATCAGAGGGAGAGCATCCTTTCTCTAATAGCTGCGCACAAATCAGCTATCCTGGGGAAAATAAATGATACTGCTAGTATTAGTAAAGAAGCAGGAGGCATGGGAGAAGGTCACCGGGAGCTTCAATACGCTGTACCCTCATCTGTACCCAAGAAAATATAAAAATGAAGATACATGGATAGATAAATACACACACAGAGGGAAGGGGGAGGTGGATGGGGAGGGTGGAGTGAGTGAGAGAGAGAGGAGGCGGGGAGAGAGAGAGGAGGGGGGAGGGAGACAGAGAGAGAGGGGGGGGAGACAGAGAGAGAGGGGGGGAGACAGGGAGAGAGGGGGGAGAGGGGGAGGGAGAGAGAGAGAGAAAAGGGAGAGGGAGAGAAAGAGAGAGAAACTATGGTCATATTTAAATAATATTTTCAAAAGTACATGTAATTTATTTAAATAAATGTCTTGATATTTGTAATAAATCTGTCTAAAAACAATACTGATTGGAATGTCAGGAGGCCAATAAACACCTTTAGTCACAGAGCTTATTTTTCGTAAATTAGAAGGTTATTTCATACACAGTGAGTAACTTGCCGTCTTCAAACTGATTTCCCAGACGACAGCAGAAGGTGTCAACACCAGTATTACGAGAAAAGGCTAATTAAAGCTCAAATATCGTGATCTGCGGCAAGCAGTGTTGACGTTTGGCCGGTAAAACTCTGAAGGGTTGATCGTAGTTTTTCTAAAAAAAAAAAAAAAAATGTATTCCATTTTTTTTATTAACAGATTCATTTTAAAGTCGCTTATTGATTTTAAGTTTGTAATTAGCTGCTAGATTGATATTTCAATCTTATATTAAAATTTGGGAATGCCTTTAGGGATGGGTAGGCCTGCCCTAGTTTCTCGATCGAGTTCCAGTAATATTTCACGTGCCAGACACAAAACAATTGCGTTGAAATCGTTTAACAAATCAAAAGAAGAAGTTAACCCTAAAATAAGCACTGGGTCGGGCCTTCCCTAAATTTAACAAACCGGCCGGATATTACTACTACTACTGTTAATTGATGATGATGAATGATGATGATGATGGATGATAACAATGATAAATGAATAGTAATGATAATAATAATGAATAGATGATAATAATAATAATGATAATAATATAATATGATATAATAAAAAATGATAATAATGAATGATAATGATAAAATAATCAATAATAAATATAGTAAGATAATAATATAATAATCAATGATAATAATAATAATAGATGATGAGGATAATGGTGATGATAATACAATACAAATTGATGAAATGACGGAATGTTATCATGATAAAAGAACAACGAACAAGAAAGAATAAAATAAAAAACAAATAATAGAGAGACTCAAGCTATGCCAACGACGTCAAACGAGGCAGAGAAGGGGAAGGAAAGGGAGATAAGGAGAAAGCGAGAAAGAGAAAGAGAGAAAGGGAGAGAGAGAGAGAGAGAGAGAGAGAGAGAGAGAGAGAGAAGAGAGAGAGAGAGAGAGAGGGGGGGGGGAATAAGAGATAGATAAGGAGAGAGAGAGAAAGAAGAGAGGGAGACTAAAAAAAAAAAAAAAAAAATCTGATGTTGTCACAGGCTGATGTCACCGTCATTAGTGTCAATCACGGCTGCTGGTCTCCGAGCGTGGAAGACGAGGTGTGGGAAACGACACGAAATAAAAGCTTTTGGGATTCTCTGTTTCCTCTATCTTCCCTCTTTCCTGTTCCTTTCTTTGTTTTTTTCTTCTTCTTTTGTTCTTTCTTTTGTTTTTTTTTCCTTCTTCTTTTGTTCTTTCTTTTTGTTTTTATTATTCTTTTGTTCTTCTTTGTTATTTTTGTTCTTATTTTTTCTCCCTGGTTATTTATTTTTTATTTTTTCTTCCTTTATTTTGGATTTGTTCTTCTTATTCATATACTGTTATTTTTTTGTTCTTTTTCTTCTTTTCATTTTTCTTTTGTTCTTTTTTCTATCTTTTGTTTTCTTTATTCTCATTTTGTAGTTTCGTCTCTCCTCTCTCTCTCCTCTCCCTGTCTCTCTTTCTCTCTCTCTCTCTCTCTCTCTCTCTCTCTCTCTCTCTCTCTCTCTCTCTCTATCTCTCTCTCTCTCTCTCTCTCTCTCTCTCTCTCTCTCTCTCTCTCTCTCTCTCTCTCTCTCTCCTCTCTCTCCTCTCTCTCTCTCTCTCTCTCTCTCTCTCTCTCTCTCTCTCTCTCTTCTTCTTCTTCCCCCCCCTCTCTC